TGTCTGTCTGTCTGTCTGTCTGTCTGTCTGTCTGTCTGTCTGTCTGTCTGTCTGTCTGTCTATCTATCTATCTATCTATCTATCTATCTATCTATCTATCTATATCTATCTATCTATCTATCTATCTATCTATCTATCTATCTATCTATCTATGGACGCCGCCATCTTTCCATCTTTGGATCAAAACAAGAAGGAAACAAAGCACAACATTTATGGCTCTTAGTGGAGAATGAACCGCGGATTAGTCCGCTGACGTCACGTTGCGTCAACAGCTACCCTTACTGCGCATGTGTTAATTAAAGGGTTTTCTTTAATTAACCTTTATTTAACCAAATAAAAACCCATTGATCAATATCGCTTCACCACGTCATAATAAACAAAACACGTCAACAGAAAAAACAAAAACACACATTAATATATGAACAGATATCTGAAGGAAAAACTGTCAACTTCAGACAGAACCTGATTCAAACTGTTTCCATTCAGACAAATCAAGTCCAACTCGGTTCTGATCAAGGATCAAGGATCATGAGATCCAACTCGGTTCTGATCAAGTCAGGATCCAACTCGGATCAAGTCATCCAACCTGCTGCATTTCAACAGCACTTTGTTGCTGCAGCTGCATTTTCCCGCTGACTGCGGCCAACAGATGTTGATCCTGTTTTTCATTTTCTTATGAAAACGAACATTTCGGGAAACTATTAGAACTATTAAATAATGCCTGTTACACTCACCGCTCTGAGGCCTTCAGGTCACTGATGTCCTCTTTTCTGCGACCATCAAGCTGCTAAAATGCTAACAATAACGGCGGGTAACCATGGCAACCACTGGCCGTTTGCGGCTCGGCTCGTGCGGACCGGATGTTGCTGTTTGTCAACAAATATCCTCCACAAGTTCATCAGTTTAATTCATGAATTATTTTCACCAACAGATTTTTTTTGTCTGACGTCATTTAGTGCAGAATTATGACGCGTCAGTGACGTCACAGTTTGATCAAATGCCACATGAAAACAATCGGATATGATTGGAAATAACTCCGATCGGATTTGGACCCACAAGATATTCACCTTCATCCAAACAATTATTTCAACACTTTGCTTTGTGAATTATGGTTATTTCTGTGTTTACAGTTTTACTGATATGATGTCATCAAACATCTACATTATGTACATTTATTTCAAACAGAACAAATAAACCAGTTGCTCATTTATTGGGTTACAACATATTTCTAATAACTTGTTTTAGATTATCTCGGTGTTTTATTATTTTTGTTTTTTATATATATTTCCAATAATCTATATTTTCATGCTTGTCTATTTTTTACTATATTCTACTCTGTTTTTCTATGCAGTTTTGGATTTATTACTAACTAAATTATTGACAATATTCCCATAAATTGGACATATTTTGCTCCAAATGTCTCATTCCTGCCTATAATTTGTGATGAATGGGTGAACAGGTGAAACCTGTGGCCGCTCCGCGCGCTGGAGACCAGCTCAAGATCCCGTTTGGGTGAAAACTCGGGTTCGGGTCCAAATGTGAGCAGGAAGCGCAGCCTGGGCTCCGGTCGGTCCGGTCGGTCCGGTCCGGCCCCCAGGCGGACAGGTGCCGCTCCAGATGCTGACATCTGGCCCCGCAGCCGCGCTTCCCGCAGGCTGGTGACAGTTAGGCCAGAGCTGCATGTGACGCTCAGAAACACCGAACAGAAGATGGAGCCGGGCCTGCGCGGCGCTGGCTCTGACCCGGAGCCGTCCGGCGCTCTGCGTAACGCGCTCCGTTCACCTACCTGCGGAAAACGGCGTGGTGGCGCAGCTTATCCCCGCAGCTCTCCATCAGAAGCGGAGCGCATGTTGATCGATCCCGCGGCTGTTATCTGATGAACGGCTCCGATGGGCGTGTTGAAACCTCACTTCCTCGTCTGACAGCGCAGCGGCCGCCGCGAGCAGCGCGTCAGCCTTCCGCAGACAATACCGTCCCCGAAGCGCCGCGGAGGGCCGAGGCTTCCGCGGCCCCTGCACCCACACAGGGGGGGGCCAAGTTCAAGCGCGGTCCGGGCCCGGTTGTGCTGTCTGTGTGCGTGTGAGCGTGCGTGGCGCACTCTGTTTATGGTTTCATCACAGCCCCGTTCGGTCCCCGCGGAGCGGTCCGGGACTCTGGCCTCCAGATGGGGGGTTCGGGGGGCCCCGCGGGTCTCCGGGGGACCAGCGGCAGTCTCACCTGCCGGGGTCTGCGGCTGGAAACGAGCCCGGCTGGGGGCCACCGAGTAGCGGCTGTGAGGGCCTGATCAGTCCGCTGTGTGGAGGCGATGGAGGCGGTGTGCCGAGGAAGACGGAGAGACAGCACCACACAGAGCCCAGGAGGACCGGAACACGCTGCTGGTGCTGCTGGACCTGCAGGAGGACAGCCGAACTACAGCCGAACTACAGCTGGACCCGAATCACTCCCAGCACAGCCAGAACCCGAACCACCGAATCAGAGCGGGAATAACCTGTTAATGAATGAGTAATAAACAGTTAAAGGGCCAGTACGCGTTTTTAACAGCTACATAGTTCTTTTTATAGAAATATAAAATCAGTAAAATGAGTAAAAAGTCTGATTTTTTCATTTAAGGCATTGAAATTGGGTCTCTGTCTCTTTAAAAACTCCTGATCTTTCTGAAGCTCTGCCTCGTTCCCAATATGGCTCCTCTAGTAACCCTTTAATCAATCAATCAATCAATCAATCAATCAATCAATCAATCAATCAATCAATCAATCAATCAACCAAATTTAATTTGTATGGCACATTTTAGCAGCCAGGCATTTCAAAGTAATTTTATCATATAAACGTTGTTAGCAGCTCCACCAGGCGTTTGCTAATTCCTCCTGGCTAGTCAGAAGGAGCTGAGAGGGATGAAGCCCTTTGTGGTTCTTGGAATAATTTTTTGTGGAGCTGATACACATTAAAACTTCTTATTTTGGATGAGATCTTAAAAAATGTTCAGTAAAACATCTTTCAGTAAAATATCTTTTCTTTTATGAGCAACATTTTTTTTTGTAGATTAGACCAAAACATTTTCTAAACTAACACAGAAGAAAACATTCAAATCAAAAATATTTTGAAAACTTAACATCTTGTTTTTTTTATGAAAATGCTGCATGTTTAAATAACAAAATGAAAATTTACACTAAAATTATTTACGTTTTCATTATTTTTAATGGGAATAATGGCCCCTGTTTTCGTTTAGTTTCAAAGTTCTGGACTTTTCTCTGGAGTTTTGCTGCTTTTCTGTCCAGTTTTTAGTTTTTAGAACATTTTCAGATGAATATTTTATCATGGATAAAATTGAACAGCTTTTGGGTGAAGGTATCAGCAGGTGAGCCACCGGTGCTTCCTGATTCCCATGATGCACCTTCTCTTTCTGCTGCTTCTTTATTTGGATAGAGAAACTTTCCATAAAGGGTTCAGTTGTTTCTGTTGGTTCTGCTTTTATTTGAATAATGAACCGACAGATTTCGCCTGCTGAGTCTGGACTTTAAGTCCAGATAAAACCGAAACAAAACTTATTTCAGGATAACATTCAGTCAATTTGAATAAAAATAATTTTTCGTCGTTCTTTTATTGTTGTCAAGTAAAAGTTGCAGCTCGTCTTCTCCTTTCATATTTCCATATAAAACAACTCAGATGATTGAAATCAGGATTATTTTAAACATAGAACCATAAAGAATAAATAATCCAATCTTTCTTTCCGGGAAGTGACAAAAAACATTTGAAATATTTTATTATGACAGACTTGTATTCTCTTTTCAATCTTTATTTTCGCTGCAAAGCATTTTATGTTTCTAGAAAAAGTTCCAAAGTTGCCTTAAACTTAATATAAATTTAGGATATGAATGAACTCAATGCTGATTTGAGTTCATTCAAAGACTCCTGACATCCTGTTCATTTTAATAAAACTTAAACAAAAAGGATGTTTTTAAAACTACAAGCTAAACATTTGAAAACCTGTTCAATTATGATAATTTCAGTTTAAGAGATAAAACTTGTTTAATGGCAGAAACTGTTGAGTTTTATCTGAACATTATAAAAATAATGTCTGTAAATAAATCTTCAGTTTGACTCCTGACGAAGTGAAACCTGAGGAAAACATGGCCGCCTGGAGGAAAACGGTTTCTGCCGGCGGTTTGACTGCGCATGCGCTCTTGTGTCCGAGCGGGGTCACGTGTCAATAATCCGATGATCCTCCGACAGGTGAGCCAACAACGACCTGCAGAGACTCTGCGTCATCTAATCTGCGCCTGCGCAGCCAGTCAGGTTCACCGGAAGCAAGGTCACCGGCTATTCAAAATAAAATGCTTAAAAAAAGACCTATAAAAAGAGCTGATTTATAATACCGCTCATTGTTTTGATGGACAGGAAGTGTAAAATTAAACTGTAGAATATACAAAAATTGAGAAGCAATGAAGGAGATAAAAATGAGACCAGATAAAACAAACAGACAAAGAAATAAGAGAATAAATTGATGCCAACGAGAAGGAAGGCGACGCTGTCTCTTCCTGCATCAGCAGGTCTTATCCCGAACTCCAACATCTTTCTAACTCTACATCCAGATTTAAAGAAGAGCGGCAAAAGCAAAGGAGGCGGATCAGCAGAGGCAGACGTTACTGTGGAATATCGACTCCTGGATACGGAGCTGTCAGCGACTCATGATGGTCACTTAGCAACAGTCTTCAGTCAGAGGCCTCTTCAGACTGACTGCTAGTGGAGGTCCTCCCTGTCCACATGAATTACATCAACTTTTCATTTTCTTTTGACACAGGAGTTTTTAAATTAATTGAATATTGTTTTGGATGTTTGTTTCATCAAACTTTGATATTTTGTGATATTTTCCTGATGACAAAAACTCCAACTTGATCAGAGGTTGAAGTTTTTTACATTTGATTTGCAGTTTGGCAGAGAATGCATGCTTTTATTATGAAAGTCTAAATAATACCATTTCCGGTACAGCTGGTGGTGTTTGACTGTTGTTGCCAGGGAGCCAGCTCCATAGCAACGGGATCAGGAGGGTAAAAAGTTGAAAGATTTATTTGTTTGTTTGTTTAAGGGTCACGTGGTGAGGAAGATGAGGAGGATGAAGAGTCTCCGCAGCAGGTCAGGAGTTGGACTCAAACTGAACGTTTCCGGTTAAAAATGCCTTCAACGCTGATAGTGAAGCCCAAACCGGCGGAGGCGCCGAGGAGGAGCGGAGCGGCGAGGCCGAAGAGGGGCCCAGCGGGGGGCCAGGGGCCCAAACCGAGGGCCAGGTCCTCATCCGCTGCCCCCAAACCAGCAGGAGCCAAACCCAGAACCGAGCCGGAGCGCCGCAGGGCCAGCAGCTCCGTCAGGCAGCCGGACCCCCGGGAAGGCGCCGGGTGTCCGGGTCTGAGGGAGCAGCGGGGCCCGGGGCCCCACGGGAGGCCCGACGGGAGGCCCGCGGTCCAGAGGTGAGCACAGCAGAGTCAGTGTGCGGTTTTATATGGGCGGTTACCCAGGGCGGCATCAGTAAGGGGAGGGGTTAGGGAACTAGAAAAGAAACAAGTCTGTTACTGACACTTTAGTGACTTTCTGTTCAGTTGTTGTTGATAACTGGGAGAAGATGTGACCTGCTTTCTGCTACAAAAAGAGAATATTGTTGCATTTTGATTGGTTGGAGGGTGGCAGGGGGCGGGGCTTAACCAGGACGCCATTCCTGCTCTGAACTCTGGATGAAAACAAAAGTTTCTTTAAAACACAGGAAATATGATCTATAATATCCTCACCTTTCTAAAGTAACGTCTTCAGTCAAAGTCATTTTATTTATTTATTTTTTTGCATGAAAATTAAGAAATTTACTAATTAAATCCATATTTAACAGATTTCAACTTCTTGCCTTTTATTTCCTCTTGACATGTTTTTGGTTTTAAGTGAATCGGTTTATTTTATGAGCCTCTTGTTTAAATTCTGAATTCATGCCTTTAAAAGCCAGAAACTTTTTTCCTCCTAGATGTTTCTGTCGTCTTTCTGCTCTCTGGAAAATATTTATTATGCTCATTTTGTGATTTTAGAGCTGAAATCCAGAATAAAAAGTTTATCCTTCGGTTTGTTGAATGAATTGCTGCAGCATCATGGCTGCCTGGTTTGTGTTGGGAGACTTTTCATGCTTCCCGCTGTGAATCCTGAAATATCCGCCGCTGCTGCCAGAGGCTTCACCTCCATCTGCTGCAGGTTAATCCCTCCAGAGAAACTGGCTGAACATGGCCGCTTGCACAACAAACTCCAGAAAAGTCTGAATCAAGAAAGCAGAAAGAAAAATTCATCCTGGATCAGATTGGATATTTGATGCATCTGTGAAGAATGTTGTTTTCAGCTGCAGATGAATTGATAATTTATCATTATCCTGCTATTTTCACCCTGGGTTTGTACCATACAGGACCTATTTTTCATTTAGCTTAACCAGTTCTGATTATTTTTTCTTCAGTGTCTTGTTTAACCGTCTCTGTGTTTCAGTCACAAGGCGTTCACCGTCATCCCTCCAAACCCAAAGAAACGGAGAGAAATACAGAAAAGTGAGTTTCTGTGCAGTTTCAGCTTCTGAGTATCACTGACAGTCTCAGTAATCTCTGCCATCTGATTGGCTGAGCAGAGGCGGAGGCGGAGCTAGCCGCTCTGGAGGAGCTGCGCCTGAGCAGAGCCATGGCCTACGTCTCCATCAACCCCAGCAGCGTCGGTGAGACACCCGAACGCCTCGCAGGCGGTGCGTTCACGGCCGCCTCTCTGACTGCGCTTTTTGCTGCGTTCGCAGGCGGCTGCATGAGTCTGGAGGAAGTGAGGCTGAAGCAGCAACAGGAAATGATGCAAGCCAAGAGGAAACAGAAACAGGTGTGACACCTGGAGTATCCTGCAGGGGGCGTCACATCTGATTTACACAAGACCACAAAATGTCTGCTTTATCTGGTTTAAACTCAAACTCCTGCATTTCACTGTTTGTATATTAGAATATGTCAAAATGCATAAAAATGACATGACAAAAAGTAAAACTTTTCATTAGAAACCAGTTTTAAAGCCAAATTATTTGCTTTTGGTCACTAATTTAGTATTTTATCTGATCCCCATTTCTAACTTTCTGAAATAAATATTTATAACTCTGTCAAAACTTCTTAAATACTTCCCATGTTCCTGAAATGTGAACTTAATTTTAATGTTTACATCAGTTAGTGTGTCTGACTCTGACGGTGAAGGTGGTGAATCCATCCAGGAAGTGCAGATCTTCACTTCCTGTCCTGCTTGTGTTCCAGGTGAGGAAGCAGCTGATGGAGGAAACGCCTGTCCTGACCAGGTGACTGCACTCAGCGCCTCCTACTGGCTGCAGCTGGTAGCTCAACTCCTGCTGAACACAAGGCAAAGGTTTCCATCCATCAGCTGAAATATTAGTTTGAATCTTGAAATGATTCACCTGAACATTTCTGAGTTCAATTATTACACAACAAACAACTTTCAACAGTGCAGCTGACGGTGGAACATCCCTCAGCATGATGCTGCCACCACCATACTCTGCCGTTGTTCAGGTTGTTTCCTGATGGTGGATGGAAACCTCTGATAAGAACCATTTTAAAATCTTCTATAATCAGAAAAACCTACAACAGCTGGCGTGTTTATCGCTCTGCATAGATCATATTTTGTATAACTATGTATTTTGTGTTTGTATATAAATTTATGTTATAGAGGAAATAAAGTTTGAAAAGAGAAAACAAAACAGCAGTTTGTTGAAACGGGTTTGTTGAACCATTTAAAAAATTACTAAAGAGATGGATGGATGGGACATAAAGCAGAACAAATTTTAAAATAAACATAACTTTTCAGAAGTTATTTTTTTGTTATTTATCCAAAACATAATTCTTGTTTTTATTCCAAGTTGAAAATGTCCAACAGTCTTTTGTCTCCACTGCTGGTCCTGCAGCAGTAGTTCTGCTTTCTACCATCAGAGGGCGCCTTCTGCCTGAATCACAGGAAGGTCTGGGTGGAGAGGATGATGATGATGATGATGATGATCACGCATCGCTGGAGTTAAAAGAACATTTGGTTCTTTTTAGAAAATTACATTAAAAATCTCCTAATTTAAACTTCCGGTCTCTGGGTTTTAAAATCCCTGCAGGGATTTAATGTCGCAGTTAAACTGCGGGAGTTTGAAACTGAATTTTTATTGTCGTAGTTTAAATGATTTTTTTTTGTAATGTTTGAGTTGTTCTCATCAGACGGAAATAAACAAATTAAAAGCAAACCGAGTTAAATGTCAGAGTCGTGCTTCTGCCTCCGGTTTGCATAATTTAAATGTCACGTCAGGAGAACGAAACTGCAGATCTGCGCATGCGCCAGATATCTAACAGGAACAAACACGCGGCCATGTTTGTAGTCTTTAGCTGTAAACCTTCCTGTACAGCGGATGGTGCGTTCAGAGTATCTTTGTAACGTCAGAAAGATGACACGCAGGAGTTTGTTCTGTTTTTATTGTTATTATTTATAGACTGCAATCTGTTTTATTTTGTTTGATCATCTGATAAAGATTTTAAATAATCTCCAATCGATCTTACTGAAAACATAGAATTTAGTTTTTTATTCCAGCAAATAAATCTGCAGCCACAGATGAAATGTGATCAAAAATATCGCTGAAAATATTCTTGAAGTAAATGGAATAAGTTCATCTCCATTGTAAACTGGTTGTATTTAATCACAGCAGAAATGAGTCAAACTTTTACTGGCTGTCCTGGCTGTAGACCGCTAATGAAATTTGTGGAGTTTTAAGTTGAGAAAAAAGAAAAATATATTTCAAGGTAAAATGTTATTATTTTCAGTATTTAAATTAAGAATTGAATTAATATACATTTTACTTATTTTTAATATTGTAGATGTTTTTCAAAAAGCTTCTTCTGAAATCACTGCAGTCATTAACTGTTTGTTTACGTATGTTTCCTGTTTTTAGATGCAAAATATAATTTTCAAGTTTACTTTTTCCTGCAGCAATGCAAAAAACAAGAATAATGATTATTTCTCATGCTGTCTTCTCTCTTATCTTGATATTTTGTTGGGGGTTTTATTCACATTGCATCTTAGAAGATTTATTTAATTAAGAAAACATCTGATGTTTTAATTTAGTTTTGTTTGTCTGGTTTTAATTTACAATAGCATTTATTTGATTAAGAAAAGTAGCTGGAGATTAAAATCTCCTCTGATTCTATTTCTATAGGAAGACAATTAGTACCATAAAATATGTGACTTTTTTATTTCAGATGTTTTGATGTGAAGTGCTTTGAGTAGATTCATAATGTCAATAAAGAATGGACTGAACTGTAATAGTTTTTGTTATGACTTTTTTGCTTCATATTTTGACTTTAATTTAATTTCACTTTAATTCAGAATTTTGACTTTTCAGAAGTTAAATCAAAACCAGATTTTTATTGTTTTAATGGCCCAAATCTTCCATTCTTCTGGGTGTTATAAAATTCTTTTTAGTCTGTATTAAAACTTTTGGATCAAACATAATTTGAGTTTGCATTATCAACCTGGTAACTGAATCAGTTTTTCTGAGACAAAATTTCAATAAAATATTATATTTCTTTAGTTTATTTCAGTCATGGACGTCCAACAGTAATCAGGACTAACTTTGGCTAGAAATAGTGGAGAACCAAATAAATTTTAAAATCATGGATATGCCAGCAAATGCCAGTTTTAGCAGGTTCTTCCAGTTTTTCAGTAAATCTGAATTTAATTTCTTTGAACAGATTGATACCAAAACTATCTGTAGTATTTCCCTTTTACATAAGTTTTTATTAGAAGAAAACGTATCCATTGTCTTCAGTGAGAGGCTTTTTTATATGAAAACCTTTAAAAATTGCAGTTTTTAAAGCAGTTGTTAATGCCAACAAATGTCCTATCTTTGACAAAGACACGTTGCATTTGTAACTCAAAACAAGTTATTTTAACTTCACTGATTGTAAACACTGTCTGCTACTGATTTTAGATGTTTTTCTTTCAGATTTTTCCTCCAGTAAGTGGTAATTCCCGCGGTCCCTGAACGCGGCGCGGCTCATAGCTGATCTTTGTGCGAAGCGGAGCAGCAGCGGAGAACAGGCTCAGTCCGAACAGAGGAACACAGGGGAGAACAGCGACTCTGTAGGCCACAAAACCCTCTCTACAGCGATTACACAGCCACGGCGACGACCCTAACATGGTAAGAATACGTTTTAAAGACCAGAAGGGAGTTTAGTGTCGCTGTTTTCTGACGGGTTTAGCTAAAAGCTAACTGGCTAGTGCTAAACGGTTAGCGAACTGTTTTCCTGACTCATTATCGACGCTAAGGCTGCCATTTTACACCAGGTACTGTCTGTCCTGGCCGCTGATTTTACCTCAGGGGAGACAGTATCTGTCTATAAAGAAGTATCAGAAAAACTCTTGTTTATCTGAGTGGTTAATATGTGGAAACCCACGGTGTTCCGTGTCTAAAAGCCCGTCCACTCTGCGGCTAGGCTGCCGAGCTAACAGGCTAATACGAAGCAGCTAATGAGACTTAGCAGCAGTGTTGCGTAGCTGGCTCAAACTCCGACCTGAACCCCGGCTGAAGCGTAATCCCTTTAATTGGTTAAATATAAACTGTGTGGCTCCAGAGTTTATTTCCGGTGGCTCGTCGTGACCGGGGAGCCTGACTTTAACAAGGGAAGCCGTCGGCCCGCTGGCGCTTTTTCAGGGTCCTGGAGATCCTGGAAAAGCTTGAAATCCAAAACCTGACAGACAGGAGATGTGGCCAGATATTCCCGAACCTCTGGGCTGGTTCTGCCCACTGATCCCTGCTGATCTGGTTGGAAAAACAACAGAACATCAACGGGGAGACGAATGATCCTGGAGGCCAGTTGGCACCAGGAACTGCTCAGCTGTTTTTTCTTTATTTTCTTTATTTATTTATGATCCAACCTAAAATCTCCAAACTGAACATAAACATAAACTAATGCTCAAGTTTTTTCCTTCCTCTATTTCTATTTGATTTAACTTGTAAAGTGTTAAAGTGAGAGAAAATCTAGACGACTTGAGTCACTGAAAATATATTTTAATACTTTTATCTTAAAAAAGTAATTTAAAAAAGCAATGTGTAGCTTTTAAATGATGCTAAGATGATATGGTTAAACATGAAGACAGCTGCAGTATTTCAAACCTGGGATAGTTGATCTTTATGAATTTACATTGAAACAAGATCTTTTTTTAAATAAACTAATTCTTATGAAAAATGTACATTGGCATATTTCCTATCTGTATTAAATGTTGTCTTTTTATTGATTATAATAAATGTCAGTTATTCGACTCATAATTTTCTGTTTATTCAACCCCTGAGGAATCTTCAAATTAAGTAACTAAACACTTTTTTATCTTTATGTTCCCAAATATGACATCTTGTAAAAGTGTAAAAATATATTTTTTCATTTCTGTTCATCAAATCTTTTCAGAACTGTCCATAGACATAATGGTTTTCATATATTTAATATCTTTTAACTTTTATGCACATGTTTGTTTAAGGGCAAAATTCTGCCATATTTCCAGCATGAATATTTTTATGTGTTACAGCCTGAACTAGGTCAACAAATAACATTGATTTTGAGACATTATTATATTTCTTTGGAGGTTTGGGAGTTAAAAAAAATACTTTTTACTTTTAGGTCCCAAAATAGTACAAGCTATACAGTTGCAATAAAATGTCAAAATTTTTCTTTGTTGCATTTTTATTTTTAACATCAACAATTTAGTTTAGTTCTACAATTTAATATATTAAGATTTAATATTTAATGGAAAACAAACTTTCTGCAGGATAATTTCTTTATGCAACAAATTCATATTTTTGCAGAGACATTTTTGAATTATATTCATAGATTTGGTTATTTTATAAAAGAAAATACAATAATCTTGATATAAATCAATAATGTTTTTTGTCAGACCAAACTTTTAACAATAATCACCAGAAGTCTTTTAACCAGGCAAGCTGATCTCCTTTTGACGGGTTTTATAAACTCTGGCTTATTTTTAAACTGTTAAAAATTGAGATGGTTTTGAAATGTAATAGATGAAATGGATCCATTTGCCCTTTGGCCCGTTTGGGACACCAGTTTCTTCCCTTCGTTCTTCTCGCATGTAAATAAATGAACCACTTCATGTTCACACTGGAGCTCCAGTTTTAATAGCAGACTTTAATAAAAACACTCAATCTCACATTTAGATCTGTATTTGGTCATTGAGACAACATTTCTGTTTTCCCTGCATGGATCAGTCGACTTGTGGAAACAACAGACTATGTCCAGAAATCAAAGCCAAACCCTTTGGCTGATCAATAATATTGATTGTGCTCATATTACCACATTTCCTCAGACTTTAACAGATCAGAATATCA